GGGGGTCGGGCCGCGGCGGGAACCTGCGCTCGACCTGCCCCGCCGGGGTCTGCACTCCGGCCCCCACCCCGGTTTCCTGGCTGTGGAAAAAACCCGAAAGCCATTTTTACTGTTGCTGAGGAGGAGCGCCCCCAGGGCGGGATGCTCCGCGCCGTGGACTCCTGTTAGAAACCTTTGGCTTCATCTGGGGCATCACCACTGCCCACCTCAGTTTGCCTGGCACCCTGAAGGATGCCCAGGGTGCCACTGGACCCCCTCTGTGAGAACTGTAGAAAATGAGGGTTGGAAGGGACTTTCGGTGATTCTCAACCTTTTTTGTATCAGGACCCATTTGTAAACATCAATGGCCAGTCCTGGCCCAGTGCCCCCCACTCCTGACCTGCTGCCCCCACCCCAGTGTGTGAGGCAGGAGGGGCACAAGCAGCCCCATTGCAGGCTGGAAAGCCTTTTCCTTCTTTAAGGAGAATCTATTTTTAAAGTTTGTTTGCAACCCCTTCTTATATTCTTGCAAGCCACTTTTGTGTTGTGACCCATGAGTGGAGACATGTTGATCTAGTCCAACCCCCACCTCAAGGCAGGAACGTCCCCAGTGAGATCATCCCAGCCAAGGCTTTGTCTAGCCCGGTCTTCAAAACCTCCGAGGATGCAGATTCCGCAGCCTCCCTGGGTAACCTGTTCCAGTGCTTTGCAACCCCCATAGGGAGAAAGATAGTAGGAAAAACTAACCTAAACTTCCCTTGCTACAACTTGAGACCGTTGCTCCTTGTTCTGTCATCTGCCACCACTGACAACAGTCCAGCTCCATCCTCTTTGGAAACCCCCTTCAGGTAGATGAAGGCTGCTATCAAATCCCCACTCAGTCTTCTCCTCTCAGACTAAATAAGCCCAGTTCCCTCAGCCTCTCCTCAGAAGTCATGTTGCCCAACCCCCTCACCATTTTCATTGCCCTACCCTGGACTCTCCAATTTGCCCACATCCTTTCTGTAGGGGTGGGGCCCAAAATTGGACACAGTACTCCAGATGCGGCTTCACCAGTGCTGAATAGAGAGGAAGAATTTTCCTCAGTGTACTGGCAGCATTCCTACTAGTGCAGCCCAGTATGCCATTAGCCTTCTTTGCAACAAGACACACTGTTGGTTTACCTACAAATCCTTGGCGTGCACCATGTGGCTTTGTTGTGTTAGGCCTTCAGCAAACAGTAATTTCAAAGTCACTTCCTGAGAGAAAATTATTCTCCCAGATATTTCATCCTTCCTTCCTTCTGTCTTTGATGCCAGGACTCTTGTTTCAAGGACAAACCCTTACAGTGGGCAGCTATCAGTTCCCACCAAAGGGGAAGCTTGTGTGTGGCTCCCCAAATCAAGTACAGAAAAGCCAACCTGTGCCCCTGACTATATTTGCTAATTTCTCCATGTAAACTGGAAATGTTTTCCCTGCTTAGTCACACGTTAATACAGTCAAGTTTGAAACACGTCATGGTTTTGTTCTTCCGAAAACAGAAAAAGGAAGTGGCGTGTATGCTAACTGCACAGCTGGCAGGTGCCTGTGTGTTTGATAGGTCCCTGATAACCCTGTAAATGATTCTATCATATCATTTTAATAGGACCTCAGTTTGAAAGAAACTAAAGAATAAATATGTAAAAATGCATCGTCACTGGCAAATAAAACCCAATCCTACAATTATTTGTGCACATATTTAATGATAAGAACTTAGTTTCACTGACTTGAATGGAACTGCGCACGTGCTTAATGTATGTGCTTGTGTAAGTTGTGATACAGGGCAGCTTGCAGAGCTGTGCTCTGGCAGCCTGCAGAGGATTTGAGTTGTTACAGGCCTCAGCTACAGAGGCTTTGCTCCTTAGCTCACAAGCAGTGGCGGTTCCTGCTTGCAGTTCCTATTTCCAATTCAATCCACTCTGTCAGCCAAAATGGCAACTGCCATACCTGTAGGTACCTGGCTTAAAAGAATGATACTTTTTATTGGTATATTCTTGTTCCTCAAAGGGTCTCAGACTACTTTGTGTATATTAAAATAATACTTTGTAGATGACATCTAAAAAGTGCTGTATAAATGCTGACTAATTAAGGGTCACATTAGCTAATTAGACACCTATATTACAGGCAGGGAAACTACAGTTAGAGAATAGGTGACTTGACCAGGTTCACAAAGTAAAGAGCCAGACTTTCAACTTTTACTCACACGAGTAAACCTCACTGTCTATTCACACAGGTAATTTAAATAGCCCTGTGGAAATCTCATATGATTAAGGGATGGAGGATCAGATACCAAATTAGAAGCATAACTCCTGACTCAGTTCTGTGCTGAAAGTACCCAGTGTTCCTTGCCAACAGCAGATAAAACATATTTCATTTACTTATTTATTTAGTTAAATAATATGTTATTTTACTTATATTTAAAACTGAAACTGTACAAGAATCTCAAGAAGAAACCTAACATAAATGTAAATTACATAGTGGAGGTGATCAGACCCAAACAACGTTGCACATAATAAACATATTTTTCTTCATTTGTATAAAATAAGAACCAGATATTGATTAATTAGTTTTCATAGCATCACGCTATCAACTCTTAAATTATAGTTGAGTTAGTTTCATTTTACAAATATGAGTTTTATACATTAACAGTAATTCCTAGACCCAAGCTTATTATTTTTTATAACATTTGATAAAATTTAACATAGGAGAGAGCCAGGCAAAAATAATAGTACCTTTGATTAAGATATTGGGACTGGGGCAGTGTGGGCATTCAGGCGCAAGGTTGACAGCTTAGAGATCAGAAGTTTGAAGCTATAGCAAAAGTGCTCACAGTGTAGCCCTGTCAGATTCCAATGAATCTGCAAATTTTGCTGAATACCTTGTCAGACAAGGACACAAAAAAGGAAAGACTAAAACATGTATCATATACAGTTTTCTTTCAAATGCATCTCCTCAAATTGCCACTGACTTACCAGTAAGTGTTTTTTTTTCCGTCGGTAACGAATTTTGTTTTCAGAAAACTAAATTACAAATGTCAGTATTCTTTCAGCTGACTTTTAAATGGTATTGGAAGGTGCAGTGCTCCTGATACGCAGAAGCGTGTGTGGTGACTGCTTATGTAAAGCATGCTTGTTTGAAAGCTTGATCATATATCATAGCAAAAATAGGATCAAAGGGCCTTTTACTCTCACTGATTGCTTTCCTGTTTTTGAGACTGTTGGTCATATTCACCTTGATATCTTGGGATACTTCATCCTCTATGACCCCATCCTCTAGTAATTTTTCTACCTTTTGCTTCTCTTCAGATTTTTTTACTGTAGGTTCCTCTCCTACCCACTTCCTCCCTGGCCCTTCTCTTCCCTCTTGTTCTTTGTATCCTTTGTCACTTTTAAAATATGATCTCATGCATGTATATGGCTTCAGGTATACAAATCACATTTTTATACATTTAAACAGTTAACAGATCCACTTTTCCTATCCTGTCTTCTTTTCACATCTAGACCTATTTGCCGCTCGCACCTCATCTTCAATGTCCATCCATGAACTTAAATTTACCTAAGCATATTGAACCTTCTGCTGTGGCTTTTAAGGGTGCCATGCAATGTTAGTACAGTTAGGTGTATAGACAGCTATACATGACTGACATCATAAACCCAGAGATTTCAAATAGGAATCCATGGTGGTAAAGCATCTTGCTCTGTTGTGGTCTTTCTGAGTTCTTTACAACAAAATAATTGCTCTATTATTTTTCCATTGTCAAGAAACTAGTTTAAGCTAAAAAGGTTGAGACCCACTACACAAGGGGCTGAACACAAGAACAAGTTTCTGTGAGGGAATTTGGAGTGCATCAGATACTCTTAAAGGTAGTTAAATTACTTTGCATTTACTGTGTGGTAAGAAGTTGCACTTCTAGATGTATTGTAAATCCATGCTATAGCTTTCCTCATGGTAGCTTCTTCACATGCCTATATCCTTATTTAGGCCTGTCACTCAGCTCTGCCCTAATTATATCTTTGTAACAGGTCGCCCTCCCAGCGCCATCTTCCTGGTAATCTGCACCTTACATGGGGCGGCCTTGGAGCCTTCTTTGGGGTTCTTATGTCAGCCCCTATACTCTCCTGCCACGTCTTGATGGAAATTATTATGATGATGTTCTTGCAAACAGGAAACTGCCTATTGTATTGGGTATGTTGGGGCCTTTCACCTATGCGGGCTTGACCCCTGTTTCTCTAGCTAGGCCTCCCCATCTAAACCCACTAAACAGGGTTTGACTCTGAGGCTCTAGCCTTTTCTGGTGTCTTGAGGCTCATGGCCCCCTTTTTTGCTCCAATCTGGAGCCTGACCCCCCTGGCCCAGAGGTCCAGGTGCTGGCCCCACAGCCGGGGGTCACAAGTTCAAAACCAGGGGACAACCTCCCAGTCCAAAAAAATACCAAAAATAAAGTTGCACCAGACCTCCCTGGCCTTTTAAGATCGTGCCTTCAGGCACCGGGGTCTGTGCCCCCCAAAACCACGCCCTCTCTGGCACCAGGATCTGTGCCCCCCCAAAAAGCCACACCCTCGCTGGTGCCGGTGGCTGTGCCCCCCCAAAAGCCACACCCTCGCTGGCGCCAGGGTCTGTGCCCCCCCAAAAGCCATACCCTTGCTGGTGCCGGTGGCTGTGCCCCCCCAAAAAAGCCACACCCTTGCTGGTGCCGGGGTCCCCACTCCATAGTGGGTCCCCAAAATGAGGCCTCCTCCTTCCCCTAATAGCCTCACCCAAACCACCAGTCTTATTCATTAATCAAAAAAGAAAAAAAACTAAACAGTCCCATCCATGGGTAATAACTGCCACCAACTAATATGATAAAGAAAAGCAGCATGTCAGCTTACATTCACAGGGTCTGGGCTTTGGCTCCCCACCGTCGGCTCATGTCCTTGCTGTGATGTGTTTGCTCTCTCTCCGGGGCTTCCTTCTTCCTGCCTTTGGACCATTCCTCCATGAAGCATTCTGAGGCACTCCTTCCTCTTTAACAACTCCCCCTAAAGTGCTGCTCTGCCCAGGGTTTTTATAGTCCTGCCCCCTTCTGGTCAGCTGACTAGCTGGCCAGGCTCAGCATTTAACCCCTTCTTCTCCAGCATTCCATGCCCAGAAAGTTCTGGCCTTTAAGGGGTGGACGTGCCTTCTGGTAACAGGGCTAGGGTCCCCTGTTACAATCTTATACATGTAAAATACTTATCAGTCAAAGTAATTTCAGACCCACACCTTGAAATAACATTTTGTTTATCACAGGTCATTTTAAACTGGCTTTTAAAAAATCATGTACATTATCTCCTGATTATTTTCTCTAATAAAAATTCTGCTTACAAAATTAAACCGTATAACTCTTTCGTTGGCTACAACATGACAAATGTGACAATTTAGAGAATCTGCCTATGTACAGTTTATGAATTCAGATTGATGGGGGGGGCGGGTTTCTATGTATATTTATGTAAGGTTGCAAACTATTTTGGAAAATAGACTTAATTGCCTTCCTTGTTGCCAGTTTCTTTTATATTGAGATAAATGCACAGGGTAAGATGGGTGTATATGGCACAGAGCTAACAACAGAGGATCTTTAAACTTTGATGATCACTCATTTTAATGCATAAACTTTGACAAAGTTTATGCAATTTAATGCATAAACAAATTTGACAAATTTTAATGCATAATTTTTTACAACGTTTAAGTAGACTGTGGCCGAGGGCCCAGTCTGAATACAGTGGGCTCGGTAAATTAACAAAGGAACACTTGGTGGGGATCTTTTATAACCTGAGGAGACTGCTCAAGGAGTCACCTGACAGAAAAGATGCTACAAGAGAAAGGATCTTTCACCAGCCATTCCAGAATGAGAGAGGAAAAACAAAAGGAGGCCAAGAGCGGAAACAGGAAGCTGGCTGCAAGATGGAGAGAGACACCATATTTTAGGAGGAGTCATCAGCTGCAGGAGTTGAATCCTATATGTATAGAGGACTCTTGACTTAAGCCAAAAAAAGCTCAGGAGTGGTGATGAAAGGGTAGCAGGCAGAATGTGTATAGGCATAGGCGACTGGTAGGGGGTGCATGGGGGGGTACATGGCCCCCATGATGGGGCTGTTGCCCCCCCTGATGGCCAACACCGACGCTGTCAGCAGGGCCGGTGGTCCCCCTGACAGGGCCGCCGCTGCCGGTGGGAGCCCCTCCAGATTCAGGAGGCACCAGTCACCCATGTGTGTAAGCATGTATCATAGATTTCATAGATATTAGGGCTGGAAGGGACCTCGGAAGATCATCGAGTCCAGCCCCCTGCCCAAAGGTTTTTGTTTAAATCAGTATATTTTTGTGCTAGCTCAAATGATTGATTTTTTGAGCCCTGACCAAGTCTGTGTGTCTGTTTGCTCCAACTATCATGTGTCTCTGCAGAGTGTGTTCACAATACTGCAGATCTTAGAGAGGATGAACTTTGTCTATGGGGGAATTTCAGTGATCAGTACTGGTCCTGAAGCCCTAAAGCAGGTGAACTCTGAGGTCCTAGTTCCATGAAGGGAAACAGGCAGAGAACTAAGCCCAGAAGCTGCTCCAGAGAAGCCAAGGGAAAGATTAGTGCTGATGCATACTTTGACCAAGAAAAGCCTAAGATTATGTGGGTGCTGGGCTATTGCATGCTGGGACCCAAATACAGCAGCCAGAATTATTTTTCCAGTTGGAAGACTCCTATGAAAGTTGTGCCACAAGGTACGGCCTTATTATGCCACAATTACATTTGGTGTAGCATTTAAATTATCAGAAAAATCTGCAACACTGACTCTTCCATTTGAGTTAGTGCACTTCAGCACCTAATAAAAGGTGGCCTGCCAGGCCTGTGCTTGTTACAACCATGTTAGAACACTGCTGTCGCTATCAGGTTATAGCATGGGGTCTCTGGCTTCTGCAGATAAGGATATTTGGTATAACAAATTAAGTTCTAAAAAATAGCTGTTGATTACAATGCCTAATGGAGTGGTCTTTGCATGATTTGGTGCGTACAGTTCTTGGAAAATATCTGCTCACACTTGTTAGGGAATCTACAAATACCGATAGCATCAACTGTATTTAAACATGTGTTAATCCACCCCCAGGCTTTGCATGTTGAGACAGCATAGTCCAAAAAATCAACTGTCTTGAATGCACTTCTTAGATGTTGTTATCATTAGATAATATCAGGGCAATGATACTGATAGTGGATTAATGAAAAAAAAATCTCCTATTCATCCTTGTTGCATTCAGGTATTCTGGGAATACTTTTTGCTTACCTTCTGACTGCCCCATTCTGTTAATTTTTAAAGCTGAATTAAGCAATAAGCATATATATATATACATATATGTAAGGCATCATTGCAGTGGCAACATTCTGACTGTAATTGTTCATCATTTAGTTATATCCTTTCACTATAATCCATTGCTTCAGTTTATAACATTTTTTGTTCACCATAGAATTTTCTTTCAAGTGACAGCAAAGTGCATTCACATTCTGATTTATAGAATACTTTTGTTGTAATGACTAAAATAATTCATCCCAGTAAAATTACAGATGTGGTAGATATTTTTATAGCAATGGCAACAACTTTATGCAAGCACATTTGATAAGCATGTCTAGTGATATGCTATTTCAAAAAAGTGCTCTTAAGGTAGCAAATTTAAGGCCAATTTACATTACATTGTGCTTTAATAGTTGGCCTTTTTCTGAAAGAATGAAACCAAAACATAACCATGGGACAGCACTAAGCTATTACACACAGGCCAGATTCAAAGGATGCTTTGTGCCACTTCCAGTGGTACAGAGTAACTTTAAATGCAGTTTAACTAGCAAGATTACACTCAGAGGAATTCTCTATAGTGTAGGGTTGCCATAACAGATGCTGTCATCCCTGGAAATATTACTCACAGCCTCAATATGAGGGTACAGTTATGGGAAATGGAATGTGGCTGGGGACTTTATACCTTGGCAATTACCACCTGCTAAAACAGCTCCTTGGGACTACTGACAGCTGCTGTAATTTAGAGCAAACTGGAGGCAGTTCCACTATAAGCCAGGGAATATCCTGTTGGCTAAGACCCTAGTCATTGAGATTCTATTGTATAAAACAGCCGTGCTCAACCTATCTGGCCCCATGGGCCAGAGGGGTGGTCAGGTCAGTTCACGAGGTCAGTGTGTGGATCCCATCTGGTATACCAGACCTGGTGGAAGATCAACCCCGTATGCTGGATCCTGCTATGGCCCAACTCCATGCGATGGCCAACCCCATTCACCAGATCTGGCCATAGCCATGTCATTTGGCTCTTAGGGCTTCTCATGTGTCTGGAAATTCAGAAGTGGAGGAGTGGTTCCCAGAGCCATGGCAATTAATGTTGCCACTGTTCTCTTGCCATCAAACATCCAGACCCATAGGAAACCCTGTGGGCTGGTTATCATGGGTCCACTGGCCATACCCAGCTAACAGGCTATAGGTTGAGCACTCTTAGAATAGAAATGGGAGGATGAAAAAGTTTAGCCCAAACTTTGTGTGCCTAAAATTAGTCAACCTAATCCATGCAGTAACAACAATATTTCAGAGATGCTGGGCATGTGTTGCTTCCATTAAAATCTTGAGGGACTATAGGCACTAAGCACCTCAGGCCACTTATAATTAAGCATCTAAATCTGTTTTTAGTTGAACTAAATAAGTGCCAAGTGTGAAAATACTGGCTTTATTAATAACCAGCAGTGATGTGCTCAGCAGGGTTTATGGCAGCTTGAAGCATCATGGAAAGAATTAATTTGAAAAAATGGGACGGATCCTCATAGTTTCCATGTAACAAGCTGGAAGATGATGGTAACATTTTAAGGCTATACTTTCCTTCAGTGAACAGCTAACTAATAAAGACTGTCATGTTAAAACCCTGGAAGGCAATGCATGAGATTAAAGAAAGTCTTCTCAAAAGTATATTGATTTTTAATACTTTAAAGAAGAATAAAACAAAAATAAACTTATTGTTAAACTAAGGGGCAAGTGCAGATAAGGAGCAAAGCAAGAGTGTAAAACTTATTTCAATAAGACATTTCTGTAAGACAGACTGATATGTGCAGTGTAAGACATCATGAAACTTGTTTTTTCTTTTTTATCTACATTATGCTGTCCGTCCTTCAAAATACATACAAATTCTGCTTTCACTTGCACCTGTTCAGCTCAATCAAATTAAATGGCTATCAGTAAGAGTAGAATTTAGCTTATAATCCATTACGCTTTGAATATAATGTATGGATTGAAATTTCTGTTCTAAAGATAATCGGACTATTACAGACCAAAACTCTCTATGATTGTGTGTGTACAGTGTACAGTATGTGAACAGTCTATATGGACGTGTTAAATTTCATAAAAGGGATTTGAAACTTATATTGAAGCTTAGCCTGAACATCTTGATATAAATATATCACAACTGTCTGATCTCCTTATGACGCAAGTAGATCAAGAACAGGGTAAGCATGACTGCACCCTTTACATCTTTGACATTCTAATGTATTAAAATTACAGATAATTGATAAAAGAGCATAGCAAATAAATATTTGTTTGCAGCTTCATCAGAAGTCATGTCTACAGTCTAAAATTTCTTTGGAATGATTACTATTTCTATATCTATCTCAGGGATTTCTATAGCACTTTTCATTATAACAGTAAAACACTTAAATATATTGAGGGGCAACTCATTGACTAAGTACATAACTATGTATTACATGCTTTTCAGTAATTCAGTTAAGCTTGATGTAATTAGAGCTAGTACTTGTGAAGACAGAATTCAAATGAAAATGTTTTCAGAGCATAATTTAAAAATAATATGCACTAAATTGGAAAAGTAGAGTGTCTACCTAACAATGGAGTCAGTCTTATTATTATTATTGACTGTGATGGTAAGTCCTCTGTTCATCAGTTATCCACGAATCTCAACATACTTTTCTAAATGGGGTAA